GAGTTTCTTCTTCTTTTTCACATGAGATACACCTGTTATCTATATATATTTCTAGTTTTCTTCTCTGTAAGTTCAAAAGTACTGGAATATTTTGGTTTATATACTTCAATCTAAATATAATTCTTCTGTTCATTTCATACGTTTTATACTTAATTCCCATAAACTTCTTGTTATAGCACCAAAACTATTTCCAACTTTGTTTAGACACTACTTCAGGTTCTTTGGTCTTCACTGCATGTAACCAATACCACTCTGCCCCTATTTGCATATTATTTATGATCTTGATAACCTTCCTTGTTGATATTTCTGTATATATTCCATTCAAGTATAAAGCATACTTAAAATAACAATTCTTCTCAAGTCTTAGCTTCGATATCTGGCTTGCTTCAGCTCCTTGTTTTGCAAGCTAGTCTGCCTTTTCATTCCATCTTATATTACTATGAGCCTTTACCTTAGTTAGTTTGAGGTTTATACCTTTGAACTTGTACAAATCTCTTATTTTCATTACTAGACTTGCATTTGGCCTTTGCTCCTATACTTTGCTTATTTTGAGTAGTAAATTGTCTGTTAGGCTTGCAATTGCAGCTGCACTATCTAGTCTAATTTCTACTTTACTATTACTACCTACTGTTAGTAGTGTTATCCACACTGCTACCAACTTTGCTTTTGTTGATAATGGCCAATACCTTATCTCAATATACCCTTCTACTAGTATATCTTCCTCATTGTAGCTTACAACTATTCTGCACCTATTTTGCATTCTGTTAATCTCTTAAACACTAAACCATATATATAAAAAAGGTATTTTTCAGATCCTACTTTAAAGTTTGTTTCTAGTTGTTTAATCAATTTGCTTTCTAGTACTGCATCAAAACCTTGTTGTTTGATTAAGCTTTCCTCATGCATTTTAGGAATTACTATACTTGCAACTTCTTCTTCTATGCTACTTACTACTATTTTCTTGGTGTTTACTTTGTATTCTACTACTTCTTCTAACACCAGTGGTTTCATTGTAGCTTTGTCTTGATTACTATGGGGTAGGACCTCTAGTACTCTCTTTTTCTTTATCTACTGTTGACAAATATTACTACTCACTTGGCAATTTAGCTTACAACTTCTACATTCAACTAGGGTTGGAGCATTTTCTGATCTATTCTGATTAACCTAATGATCAATTAAAACTTTGGTCTTTTGCTTCTTGCTGATTTTACTGACTATTGTCTCATCATTTTTTTTATTAATAAGCACCCATTCATATTTTCTTTTATCCTCAGATAACCGCTCTAAATACACTTTCATTGATATACTGTTTATATCTTGCATTTGAAATTCAGCTCTAACTATTTTATTTTTGTTATTTTGAAGTATCTTTGCTTCAATTTCTTTAAACTATTTGGACTTATGACCTTTCTGTGATCTGGCTCTTAGTAGTTTAAGTTTTCTCTATATAATTAACTTGCAACCTTCTTGATTAAGTAGCTGTCTGATATAGTAGACATTATACTTTCTAATTTTATTACAATATTTTAAAAATGTTTTTTTATCTAGTACTTTATGTATTGTTGGTCCGTAACTGTGTACTTGTCATGGTTTATTGTTTCTTCGTAATATTATCTCTTGTTTACTTGCTTTTGCTATAACTAGGTCTACCAGATTGTGTTTTCAGATTTTCTCTAGCATTTCTATATCTTCTAACCACTATTTTTCAACCACTAACTCTGCCAATAAAAAACCTTCTGCTATATAGAGTTTAGTAATATTTCTAACTTGATCTTTATTATTTAATCATGTTTGAAGTCCAACAAATTGTTGGAAGAAAACTTCATGATGCAACATCTTGTATCTTCCTATTCTCAGATATGATATCAGATAATTACCTGCTGTGGCTAGAAGCCTGATTTTATGCTTGATTAACTTTACTATTGGCTAATAGATTCTTGTAAGGCCAACATGCAAAACCTTGGTTGTCTGCAATATATATGTGAGTTTTGATATGATATACATATTGTTTATGTATATAAGCTAACTAATTGAAAGGCTCTTGGCTTGCATTGTTTTAGTAAAGTGCCTTACTATGCTTTTGACTTTCTTTACTACCAATTTCTCATTAACTTTTGTACTTAGCCAGACCCCAAGGAGTCTCGTTAAATCACCTTTGCCAACTACTTCAAGTAGGCATCTAATACTTTTCTCTTTTTTGTTTAACTATGAGTTTAGTACTAGTAGCTTTGACTTCTAGCTATTTATCTGTATATCATTAAACTTGAAAAAATGTTGGGTGATTTCATATATTTTTTTCATTTGCTTTTTATTTGCCCCTAACCATGTCATGTCATCGGCAAAAGCAATTGCTGCTTGTTTTATCACCAACTTCTTAACTTGTTTTTTCTTATATCTAATAGCTTCTTCCTTTCTATTTTGTATTCTAACTTAGTGTCATCTTGGATTCTGTGTAGCAGTGGGTCATAAAAAATTCTCTATATTAGTGGAGAGATTGTCTCTCACTACTTTATACTATCCCCTGCCTCAAACTCTTCTGTTAACCCAAATGCCGTAATTATTTTAACCTGCCTTTTGTTAAATAGCTCTGTAATAAAATTAATAACTTAAATAGATAGCTTTATTCTTGTAAGTGCAAGCTTAAGTGTTTTAATCGATACTGAGTCATAGGCCTTTTTTATATCTTGTAGCATTATCCATAGCTCTTTTTTACTTTCTTTGACATTTTCTATAACCATGTCAACTAAGTTAATTGCACTATCTGTTGAGCAGCCAGGCAGCCCAGTAAAGTTTAGGCCTTTAAGCACTTCTTTTTTTACTAATATGCTTGTGATTTGCTATATAACTACACGTGTTAGATATTTTTTGAAGGTTTTTAGTAATGCAATTGGCCTAATATTGTTCAGCTAATATTTCCAGGTTTTATTTTTTGGAATTGGATATATTTGTACTAGTTTTTATTTTTGTAAAATTATGCTATTATCTAAGCACAAGCTTGTGAGCTTTATAAAAACCTCTTGCACTTTACTGCTTATATTTTTAATAAGTGTATATCCTATTCCTGTTATTCCAGATGCTGTTTTGTTACTAGCCTTACTCAAAGCAATGAACCACTTGTTGATTGATATCTTATCTGACAAATGACTAAACTATTTCTTACTTATTTCACCTAATGGTTTATAAAATTCATTTATAATCTCTGCCTTAAGTTTAACATTTCTCTCTTTGAATTGACTCTGGAAATGTTTTTTAGTCTTTTCTAACACTTCATCAGGCTCATTGTATAATATTCTTTCATTACTAGTTTGCTCGAAAACTCTGTCAATGTTAATCTTTTTGTAGGATTTTTCTAATATGCTTGCTAACATTCTCCTGATATTACCATCTATTCTTTCAAACCTTTTGTTTACTGCTTTTTTAATTCCAGTACGAGTACTACTGTTCTCTGCTGCTCTTTCAAGTATATGCATTGCTTTTCAACTCTGCTTTGCTGCTATTAACCATACCTGCAATGACATGCTATTGCTATTTAATTTATCTAACGACATCATATATGTGTTGTTAATATGTTCTACTATATTATTAACTTTCTTTATCTCTGCTTCATCAATCTTATATATACTACTTTTCTTTTTAAATGCCTGGATTACTTTGCTTAGCTTTGTAGTATCATTATGTATTTTTGTTCTTTTTTTTCTGTATCTGGTCTCAGAACCAGGGTTGTATACTTACTTCTTTGGAATTATTTTGTTTGCCACTCTCTTAATTGCATTTGTGATTGCATCTCACAACTTATTTATATATTGTTCAGGGCTTTTAAATTTCAGATACTTGACTATATTGCTATTTAGGAGTAAACTGTCAACCTGTTCTTTATAATCATTCCAGTTCTCTTTAGTCACTTTGTCATAGAGGAAAACTATTTTGGCTGCTCTGGTTTTTCTTGTTTTGACCAAACTTCTTATTTTTATAAGATGCTTTAATATGATATTAGCTGTAATGATACTGTGATTACTTACTGTTATAATTTCCACCTTTATGATCTCTGCTTTTGTTGCACTATAAATCAGATTTTCTGATACCCAAATCTGGTTTATTCGAGATTCGATACCTTGGCCAGACCATGTATACATTCTTGCATATAAGTTTAGTGCTCTAAATATATCTGTAAAACCCTGATTTCTAAACTATTTGTGGAGTGGCAATAACTTGTGTGCTGTGTGTCTATTGCCCCCACTCTTGTTTAGCAATAGGTCTATTACTCTATTGAAATTACTCATTACTATAAAGTGTGCTTTGCTAGATCTCTCTATATACTTGGTAACAATTGTTCTCTGGAGCATCTTCTCTAACTTCCTATCACTTGATGAGAAATATACTACTATTATTATAATTTCAGTTTGCCTAGAATAGAATCTAGCTTCTATTATATATTTTTCTACTCTTGCAACTTGTCCAAGATACTTTTCTCACTTTGCATCTACAATTAGCCCAACCTCTGAATCTTTCTTTTTTGTAATCATTCTTTGTATCTAAAAACCTTTTTTGCTATTACTTAACTCACTAAATCTTAATTCTTTCTCATTTGTATTTGTTTCAACTAGCCCTAGTATATTAATTTTATTCACTGACATCCACTCATCTATCATTTTAAGCTTTGTTTTATTCTTCTTAATCTTGTTGATGTTGTGACATGCTATATTTAATCTAATGTCCCTTTTCTGTGTTATAAGGCTTGACTTTGAATCAGCTTTGCTATTTTGAGGCTAGAACTTTCTTGTATAACTTGATATTGAATAACCTCTTTTCTCTTTTACAATGCCTGTGGCAACTTTCAGGAGTGGTTGGAGTATTATCCCTCTGTTGTCTTTTTTTTAATCTTAGCGAGCCTCTTCATAATTTCTTCAATGACCGCTTGATCACTAAAGCTTCTTGCATTTTTTGTGATCTCTCTTGCATTGCTTAATGACCTTTCATTACTTGTCTCTTTTAGGTTCTCCTTATTTGCTCTTCTTTTCTTCTTTGAATTCAAACTGAGTTTCAATTTTGAGCATCCATTTGCAATCTTTAACTACTTCATTTATTTCTCTTTTATCAAGTTCATTTGAGCCAAAAGTGTACTTTCTAGAGTTTCTTCTTTCATCTAGAGAATGTTTCTCTTTCACCGGGTCTTGGTCTCTTCTTTTCCCAGACCTCTTCCACTTTTTATCACCTTTATCTAGTTATTCAAGCTTTGTGTTATAGTAAAAGATATCTCTTTCTTGAGCTAACTCTAGCTCTTCTCTTAATTCAAAGTACACCGATACTATACGTCTTTGATTTTGGTTATTATTATATGAAATATAAACTGTTTTTGCACCTACTTCTTTTAGCTGTCTTAACAATAGTACTTCTATTGCTGATGTTGGGACATTTTTAACTACCT